ATACATCGCAGCAGCAGCAGCAGCAGCAGCAGAAGCAGAAGCAAAGGAAACAGCAGCAACAGCAATATACACATGTAGGTGCAGCAGCAGAAGAAAAAAACAAAACAAAAACAGCAGCAGCAACAGCAGCAACACAAACGGCTCGCTACAGCAGCAAACAAAATTAAAACAATGTCATATGCTTCTATAACCTGCTGCTGTTGTTGCTGCCGTTGCTGCTGCTGCTGCTGCTGCTGCTGTTGCTGCTGCTGCTGCTGCTGCTGCTGCTGCTGCTGCTGCTGCATACCTGCGTATGTAAGGAATGGTGTGTCCCTGGGTAGCCCTCAGCAGCCACTTGCCGCTCATTCGCTCCACCTTCTTTGCTGCTGCTGCTGCTGCTGCTGCTGCTGCTGTTGCTGCTGCTGCTGCTGCTGCAGTATCTTTGTACGCAGCTGTGCAGCAAACGAATCTACACGGGCACCTCTCCTCGTTGCTACTGCTGCTGCTGCTGCTGCTGCTGCTGCAGGAAGTATCATTTGCTGCTACTGGAGCTGCTGCTGCTGCTGCTGCTGCTGCTGCTGCTATTCCTGAGCCACTGCAACAATTGCTGCTGCATGCATCTGCAGCACAACCACTACAAGCATCTGAAAGCTCTTCCGCAGTGCACTGTATTGGTTGCTGCTGCTGCTGCTCCTGTTCCTCCTGCTGCTGCTGTTGCTGCTGCTGCTGCTGCTGCTGCTGCTGTTGCTGCTGCTGCTGCTGCTGCTCTGCTAGGAGGGCAGGACAGGTCTCCGTCTCTGTCTCATCATACACCAATTCATACCGCTGCTTGTGGTTGCCTTCAACAGCCTGAAAACAGCAGCAGCAGCAGCAGCAGCAGCAGCAGCAGCAACAGCAGAGACACACATATAGAATGAACAGAAAGAGCAGAAGCAGCAGCAGCATCACATCAGCAGCAGCACCAGCAGCATATTCCCATCAGCAGCAGCACAACAACAGCAACAGCAGCAGCACCACCACCACCACCACACCACCACCACCACCACACCACCACCACCACACAGCAGCAGCAGCACCACCACCACCACCACAGCATCAGCAGCAGCAGGAGCAGCAGCAGCAGCAGCAGTTTACCTGTAGTATATGTGTCCAGGTGACTGCATGCATGCAGGGTATAGTAAGCAAATCCCTAACCCGCACGAAGCCATCTTCTCTTATAAACAAACCAAAGAGGGGGGCCCCATGCCGCAGAATAAAGTTTAATCTTTTTATTACTATATAACAACCACGTATAGATAGAGTGCTGCTGCTCTTCAGGCTTCGTCTGCTGCTGCTGCTGCTGCTGCTGCTGCTGCTGCTGCTGCTGCTGCTGCTGCTGCTGCTGCTGCT